CACATTGCTTTCCATAGTGGTTGTACTAATTTACATTCCCACCAACAGTGTAGAAGTGTTCCTTTTCCCCGAATCCTCGCCGGCATTGGTTGTCTGTGTTACTAATGCTAGCCATTCTGTTGAGTGAGGTGAAATCTCAGTATTGTTCTGACTTCCATTTCCTTTATTCCTGAGAATGTTGAGCATTTTTTCATGTGTTTATTGGCCATTTGTACTTCTTCTTTTGAGAACTGTCTGGTCAGTTCATTCACCCATTTATTCAATGGCTTGGTCATTCTTTGCCTGGTTACTTTTTTGAGCTCCCTTTGTGTTGTGGTTATTAATCCCTTGTTAGATATGTAGCTGGTGAAGATTTTCTCCCATGCTGTAAGCTGTCTCATCAGTCTAGTGTTGTCGAGCATAAGCCTTTTGGTTTGATGTTGTCCTGTTTGTCAACCCTTTTTCTTAACTGCTGAGCTATTGGAGTTCTGTTCATAAAATTATTACCTACTGCAATTTGTTCCAGTGTATTCCCTGTTGTTTCCTGTAGTAGTTTGATATCTTATAGTATGACCTTTGATCCACTTTGAATTGATGCTAGTATAGGTGAGAGACTGGAATCTAGTTTCAGTCTTCTGCAGGTGGATATCCAGGTTTCCCAGCCCCATTTGAAGATTTTTGAAGTCAAAAATCAAATGGCTGTAGCTGCTTGGGTTTGTGACTGGGTGTTCTGTTCTGTTCTGTTCCATTGGGCTTTGTGTCTGTTTTTATGCCAGTACCATGCTGTTTTTACTGCAATGGCTCTGTACTGTAGTTTGAAGTCAGGTATTGTGATACCTCCCGCATTGCTCTTTTGTCTCAGGATTGCTTTGGCTAGTTGAGGTTTTTTGTGCTTGCATATGAACATGAGGATTGATTTTTCTATCTCTGTGAAGAATGACATTGGAATTTTGGTGGGGATTGCATTGTAGATTGCTTTCTGTAGCATAGCCATTTTCACAATATTGATTCTGATGATCCATGAGTGTGGGATGTTCTTGCATTTTCTAACGTCTTTGTTGAGTTCTTTCTTCAGCGATTTATACATGTTGAATTTTGTCAGAGGCTTTTTCTGCATCTATTGAGATGATGAGGTTTTTGTGTCCTTGATGTATGTGCTGTATTACCTTTATTGATTTGGGTATGTTACACCATCCTTGCATCCCTGGGATGAAACCTGCTTGATCATGGCATATGAGCTTTTTAATATGTCGTTGGATTCTGTTAGCAGGTAATTTTATTGAGGGTTTTTACATCTGTGTTCATCAGTTGATATTGGCCTATAACTAACTTTCTCTCTCTTTCTCTCTCTCTCTCTCTCGATGCATCTTTACCTGGGTTTGGTATTTTGGTATTAGGGTAATACTGGCTTAATAGAATGGGTTTTAGCGTTCCTTCTTTTTGTATTTTATGGAATAATTTAAGGAACATTGGTGTTAGTTCTTTAAATGCCTGGTAGAATTCAGCAGTGAATCCACCCTGACCTGGGGCCTTTCTTGAATGAGAAGTTTTTGTTTTTAATAACTGTTTCATTCTCATTACTTGTTATAGATCTATTTAAGTTGTTAATGTCCTCTTGGTTCAATTTTGATGGGTCACGTGAATTGAGAAGTTTATTTCTTCTCGATTTTCCAGTTTGGTAGAGTTTAGGTTTTCACAACTCTCCTGCATGATCCTCTAAATTTCATTGGTGTCTGTTGCAATATGCCCTTTTTCATCTGATTTTTATTAATTTGGATCTTCTCATTTCTTTTGGTTAATTTGCTTAAAGCTTTGTGCATTTTGTTTTTTGTTTTTTTTTTCCAAAGAACCAACCTTTTTTTTTTCCCCCCAGTGATTTGTTGTACTATTATTTTGGTGTCCAATTCATTGATTTCTACTCTAAGCTTTAGCATTTCTTTCCATCTACTACTTTTTACTACTTTTTTTCTTCCCATGGTTCTGGACTTTGAATGCAAGGCTTCATGCTTACAGGTACTTTACCACTTGAGCCACTTCCCCAGCCTACTTCTACTACTTTTGAGATTTGCTTGTTCTTGTTTTTCTAAGCGTTTGAGTTGCATCCTCAGATTGTTTGAGATCTCTCATTTTCTGATGTGGCCCCTTAGGCTATAAGCTTCTTTCTTACCACTGCCTTTGTTGTGTGCCACAGGTTCTGGTAAGTTGTGCCCTCATTTTCCTTTGAATGTAGGAATTTCTTAATTTCTATCCTAATTTCTTCAGTGACCCACTGATTATTCAAAAGTGTGCTGTTCAGTCTCCATGAGTTTGAATGGTTTTTGTAGTTTTTCTCGCCATTGATTTCCAATTTTATTCTATTATGGTCTGTTAGGATCCAGGGGATTATTATTATTGTTGTTGTTGTTATTATTACTGTTATTTGTTAAGATTTACTTTATGATTTAGGATGTGATCTTTTTGGAGAAAGTTCCATGGGATGCTGAGAAAATGTGTAAATCTGCTGCTGTAGGATGGAATACTCTCTAAATGTCTAAGTCCATTTTGCCATGATATTGTTTAGTTCTAGGGCATCTTTGTTAATTTTTTTGTCTGGAAAGTCTATTGAGTTGTGGAGGGTGTTGAGATCTCCCACTATTATTATATCTGGATCTATCTGTGCCTTTAATAATCTCAGCAAAGTGTTTGTTTTATGAATGTGGGACCACTGGTGTTCAGTGCATACCTATTTAGAATTATTGTATCTTCTTGCTGGATTGTGCCTTTATTAGTATGTAGTGATCTTCTCTATCTCTTCTGACTGATTTTTACTTAATATCCTCATCTGATATGAGAATAGCTACTGCTGCTTGCTTTTAATTTGCACATGCCTGGTATGTCATTTTCTAACCTTTCACTTTTAGTTTATATGTGTCTTTGGTTGTAAGGTGTGTTTCTTGTAGACAACTCTTGTGTCTTTTGATTAGAGTTACATCCATTTACATTTAGAATTATGACTGAGCTAGTCACTGATTTCTGTGTTGCTTTTTTTTTCCAGGTTGAATCTCATGTTTATTGTTCTTTCATTTTAGAATTATTCATTGTCAGGTTTTGCTGGTTTACTCAGCTGATAATGCTTGCTACTTGCCAAGCTCTCATGGGTTCTTCACTTCCCCCTTTGAGTTTTATTCTTTCTTGACTTCTTGTGTTTGTGATTATTGTTCTTCCTCTTTGGTATGAATTGTTTGCTTGAGTATCTTTTGATTGTGACCCAGAGTTTTTGTATATTATAATCATATGTATTCTTTTTTTTTTTTAAATTTGTGATTGTTTGCATGTGATATCTCCTCGATCTTGTCCTCCATCTCTGATACTTTCTTCTTTTTGGTCTTATCTGATGATAATGCTATCCACTGTGCTTTTTGTTTGATTTATTGACGGTTTCATTTCTCACATCTGTACTTGGTTATTTTTATAGTTTCCATTTCTTTGCTGAATTTCTCTGCCATGTTGCTGACTTCTTGTCTAGGTCTTGGATTGATTTCCTAACTTCATTTACCTGTTTATTTTAATCCTCTTTGAGGCCACTGATTTTTTGGGGGAGAAGGGGTGGGACTGGGGTTTGTAATTACAAACCAGGTACTCTACCACTTGACCACACCTCCAGTCCATTTGCTCTTGTTATTTTGGAGATGGGGTCTCTTTAATTATTTGCCCGAGCTGGTCTTGAACTGTGATCCTCCTGATCTCAGTGTCCCAAGTAGCTAGAATTCTAGGTGTGAGGCACCATGCCCAGCTTGTATGTTCCTGAATTTTTAAGACATTTTGGCCAATTTATTATCTTTGGATTCAAATGTTGAGTTGTTGGGGGTGGGGTTTTATAGGAGAGACCTTGCCTTGAGTTTTCACATTTTAATTTCTATGCTGTGATGTGCACATCTGTTGGAGTAAGTTTCTCTTTAACTTTCCTTGCATAAGCCAAGAACCTATTGAGATGGAGGCTTTGACCTACCCCCCTAGTTTTGTTTTTTTACTGTTAGACCATGAGGAGCCTGGTCCCTGAATCCAGCTCATCAGATGCCATGCTCCAAGTGTGGGAGGCCTCTTCTCTGTCCCCAGCTATTCTTCCTGTAAGCCACGGAATCCTGGAGGCTGATTTCTGTGTCCTAAGCACCTGTGCTGTTCGAGGCTTCCTCTCAGTTATTTCCCTAAGTGGACACCCAACAGAGTGTGACTCAGTCTACACCACCTGTCTTGCCAGGGTCCCAGGTGTCTCCTGAGGAAACTCTACTAGTGTCTCTCTGGCTGTGGGCTGCCAAGGGCCCTGTGGGAAGAGGTGACTGTTAGGACTCAGTTTCTGTTTCATCTGTGTCACTACATTGCCCTAGGTGCCCCAGAACATCTTTTGAGCTTTTCTTTTTAAACTGGATTTTTGGACTTTCTTGATGGAAGTTTTAGTCTTACTGAACTACTATTATCCATCACACTTGAAGAAATGTAGTTGTTTATGCTTCTTAAGGGGTTTTGGTACCAGATGTTATGTGTCTGACTTGACTAAGTGGGGGACCTGGTTTTGATTATTGTTTTTAATCTCCGTTGTCTGATATGTATAAAGTCTACTCAATTGAATTTTTTTTCTATGAAGAAAGACCTTTTCTCTCAGGAAAACGTTCTCAGAACTAGGCAGCAAATTAACATTTAGCTTTGCTATGAGTTTTTCCACAAAAGTAAAAACTGAATAAAAAAGGGGAGGATTGTTAAGTGGCATTGTTTATAGATAACACAGTGAATTTTTGACATAGTTAAAATAGGAGGGCTGGTCTTTTAACACATATGTATTTATGGTGGTGTAAGACAGATGCTTTCCTGGGTCTGGAGGGACACAGTAATCGTTTTGGTGGGTTAGTTCCTATATATACCTCCTTGGTGTATATGCTGTATCTGAAGAGAGGCTGGAGAATAGTGTTGACAACATAAATGTTAACATCATATTGTCAATAGTAAATTCCAAATAGTGTACAGTGAAAATTTTTTTTTCTTAACAGAATATGACAGATACCTAGCATCTAGCAAAAGAATGGCAGCTGCTTACCTTGATCCAAACTTGAATCATACACCAAGTTCGAGTGCTAAGGCTCACCTGGGTATTGGCATGGAACGTTCCCCTGGTGCAATGGAGCGAGTATTAAAGGTCTTTCATTATTTTGAAAGCAATAGTGAGCCAACCACCTGGGCCAGTATTATCAGGCATGGAGATGCTACTGATGTCAGGGTGAGTACCTCTTCCATGTTATGTCTTTAATGCATATTTAGGTTGTTTTAATGGCATATATGAATTTTAATTAATTTATGAGTTCCTTTCATATTACAGAGAAAAGCCTTTTTTAAATTATGGTTCATTTATTCAATATATGACCGAAGGGCTTGAGACTATAGCTTCATGGTAGGGCCCTTGCCGCTCATGTGTGAAGCCTTGCTTCCATCCCTAGCCCTTAGTGGGGAGGAAGGACATTGGTAATATGTGACTGACCAGAGTTTTAACTATAAAATTTCTTAGGAAAATGATAGCTTAATCTCATTTTGGTCATAAAATTCCATTTACTCGCCCTTCTCCACTAATTTTTTTTTTTTAAACTTGGAAGACTACAGGGAACCAAAGTAATTAAAATACCCTCTAATACTTTTAAAATGAGAAAGTAATTTTTAGAAGGCATAATTTTGCCTTCTAGTTTGAATAACTACAGATGTGATAATTTCTATAGAAGCTATTGAATATACGATGTATATCAAACACTATGTTAGGATGTAAGGATACGAAAGGTCTGTATTAGTCAGCTTTCCGTCATGGTAATGAAATTCTTGGACCAGTTAACTTAGAAAAGGTTTATTTTGGCTTACGGTTTTGGAAGTTCCAGTTCGTGATAGAGTGGTCTCATTGTTCTAGACCTCTGGTAAGACAACATAAGAATAGCAGGAGTGCATGGAAGAATAAACCATTTACTCTCTGAGCCAGGAAACAAAGGAAGAGACTGGTGTCCCACAGCTCCCTTCAAGGGCAGGCCAGTTACTGGAAGGACCTTCCACTAGGTGTCATTTCCTAAAGGCCTACAGTTCCTCCCAGAAGTACCATCTTTGGACCAAACCTTTAACATATGGCCCTTTGGGGGACATTGAACATCTAAACCATAGCAAGGTCCTTTGAAAGTCCTAAATTCTTACTTTTACAGCTTAGAGTCTGTTAGGAGGAGAGATAGCCATGGCTTCACTGGCCACACAGTACAGAGCACTGCTCTGGAGATTGACCCACATGCTGGGAAGCTTGAAGGCATAGCAGCTAAATGGAGGAGGTAGCCATTGTGAGAGTCCTTGGGTTTGCAAGGGGAGTGAGAGCCAGTGATAGAGACTTGTGGGGAAGAGCAGGCAAGGCAGAGGCGATTGGGTGTTTCCAGAAATCAGGCGTAAGCAGGTTTCAATGGATCTCAGAAAACCGAATTCCATGTGGATCTCTGGGAAATGCTGGCTTTTGTGAAGTGTTGAAGGAGCGTTTCCTTCTCCCTGCTGTGCACACATCTGTTGTATTCAGCTTTAGGGAGCAAAGAGGTCCAGTGATTAGGAAACTTAGCTATGTCAGTTTACCTTACAAAGATTATAGAATGGTGTGTCATGGTTTTAGTATCACACTTTCTACACCTGAAAGGCTTACCACTCTACAGAGGGCCAGGGTTCACTACAGACACACTAGCCTTTAGTCAGCATTAAAAACTTACATCAAATATAAGTACATAGATTATGTGAACACATATATCAAACTTTTGTGAAGGTCAGCATGAACAAATTTATTTGGCCAAAAGGCAGCTTGTTATATTTCACAGTAATTGCTAAATGTTTGAAATTATTTATATCAGTTGATTTGCACCAGAGGCAGAAGAAACATGACTAGCATTGAATTCACACCGCCCTTTCCTGGGGTAGCATGAAGTCTGCAAGACACCAGGTCACTGTGGCGGAAGATTGTGTATTCTTCATATCCCATTTTCATGAAATGTTTTCAAGCTGTGACATTTGAAAATATACAGCATTGTGGTTGCAAATTAATGGGTGGCTCTGCACATCTGAACAAATAGCACTGAAGAGTGTGTCCATGACATCTTAAGCTTATGAGCGCAGAGACTAATGTATTGGTAGGAACAAATATGAGGCATTGAGGGCCTGGTTACTTAGAACAGAAACGTAAAATGGTCAGTTAAGAATGGAAGTGTAGTCTCTTTGCAGAAGAAAACAGGCAATATTAGCAAAGGGAAAGCTATGCCAGCCATCTTCTGAAACAGTATGACTTTGTGATGTCCAAAGTTACTGAATAATTGAATCAGTATCTATAGCTACAGTGTCCGTTCTGCTAGCCTTGTCTGTTGTTGAGCACTTGAATGTAGCTAGTATGAATTGACATGGGAAGAAAATGTAAAAAACATACTCCAGACTACAAAGACTCAGTGTAAAAACGGCGCAACTGTCTTAACGATAGTTGCTTAAGATTGCACGCTGAAGTGATAATACTTTCGTATGCATTTGGCTAAATTGTACAAGTTGCCCCAGGCTGCTCTGGAGGTAAGTGTGGGATCAGTACAGAATAGCTAAGATTGACCCATGTTGGTCAGTAATAGAATTGGTCATCCAGAAACATTGTAGTGATACTGGAGAATATAGTGACATAAGGAAAATTCCAGATCATACCCAATAAAGAAACCCCCGCCTAGGAGAAGGATGCCATTTACATCAGTTTTTTTTAATAACTGATACCAAATGCAAGAAAAATCTCACAGTGTCTTCAAAGGGTTCAGGAGAATAACTGGTAACTCATAAGCCAAAAACCAGATAAATAATCAGTGATGGAAATACACAATGAAGGTGCTTGCAAAGAAAGAGTGATGTAGAAAGTAAATACCACAGGCTCTTTGGAATAACATTTAACTGATGTATTGGAGTATAGAAAAAGTGAGTCCAGGAGAAGAGCGACATCCTGAGGCCTTGAGTGTGCTCTCCCTTGTGCCTTACAGTGTCTTAAAGTGGCAGTCATGCCATAGGCCAGTGCTCTGTCTGTTCCTTACCTGTGCTGGGCTCTGATTGGCTTCCTTCTAAGTTAAAAATCTTGGTGCTGCCTAGCTGTCATGCTGCATCTTGTCTTATTGCCTCCTCTTACTGTATCTTGTCTTATTGCAGCCTGCCTCCCCTTTTCCCTTCACCTCCCTTTTTTTTCTTTTTTTTGGAGACAGGTTCTCACTATGGTATAGTCAGGCCTGCCCAGAACTTGCTCTGTAGCCCAGACTGGCCTTGATCTCATGATTCGCCTGCCTGTACCTCCTAAATGCTGGGATTATAGGCACGACCCACCATGCCTGATTGTGTGTGTTCTGATCGTTCTACCAACTGACCATTTCCTGTCTTTCTCCCTCTCTCTGGCTTCCCTGTTCTGAAGTGCATTAATACTGAAATTATATCAGTTAATAATCCTACAGTGTTCTGTAAGTATTCACGTGAAAGCAAGAATTATATATCTCTCACTTTAAGTAAAAAACTGGAAACGATTAAGCTTTGTGAAGAAGGCATGTCAAAAGTCAAGATAGGCTGAAACTAGGCCTTCTGTGCCAAATAGTTGTGTTACACATGCAAGGAAATGAAAAAATGCTACTCCAGTGAACACATGAATGATAAGAAAGAACAACAGCCTTATTGCTGATATCAAGAAGGTTTTAGTGGTCTGTATACAAGATTAAACGTTACATTATATTCATATTCAGATAGATTGAGTATTTTTCATTCTCTTCTATTTTCTTCCCTCTCTGTCTCCTGTAGTCATCTCAGATAGACCCACTAGAACAATCTTGTTCTCTTACTGTGTATTATGTGTGTGTACATATATGGTCATTTTTATATATACATTTAACTTACAGGTCTAGCTTCCACATACAAGGGAAAACATGCGACCTTTGACCTTTTGAGCCTGGATCATTTTCCTTAACATGATGTTCTCCAGTTCCATCCATTTACCTGCAAACAGCATAATTTCATTCTTCATGGCTGAATAAAACTTCGCTGGGCATATATATCACATTTTCTTAATCTGTTCTTCAGTGTGGAGGCATCTGGGCTGCTTCCAAAGCTTGGCTATTTGTAAATAGTGATACAGTAAGCATGGGTGTGCAAGTGGCTCTACCATATCCTGGAGCACATTCCTTTGGCTATATGGCCAGGGACAGTGTGGGTAGATCATATGGTAGGTCTATTTTTAGTCTCTTAAAGAACCTCCATATTACTTTCCACAGTGGTTGCACTAATTTACATTCCCATTAACCATGTAGAAGTGTTCCTCCCTCCCTCCCAGCAACCTCACCGTATTTTTTGTTGCTGTTTGTGTTATTGATGAGAGCATTTTGACCAGGGTTAGGTGGAATCTCAATGTAGTTTGACTTGCGTTTCCTTTGTGGCCACGGATGTTGAACATTTCACATGTTTATTGGCCCTTTGTACTTCTTTTGAGAACTGTCTGTTCAGTTCATTTGCTTGTTTATTCAGTGCATTGTTGATTGTTTGAGGGGTTAGGATTTTGAGCTCCCTCTATACCCTGGTTGTTAATCCCTTGTCAGATGTATAGCCAGCAAAGATCTTCCATTCCTTAGGCCGCCTCTTCAGTTTGGTGACCATTTCCTTTGCTATGCAGAAGCTGTTTACTTTCATGCAGTCCCGTTTTCAATCCTTTCTCTTAATTGCTGAGCTATTAGAGTTTTATTCATTAAGTTATTACTTATTCCTGTGTGGTCCAGTGTGTTCACTATTTTTTCCTATTATTTCACCATTTTAAATCTTATATTGAGATCTTGAATTGGTGCTAGTACAAGGTGAAACTCTGGAATCTAGTCTCAGATTTCGGCAGGTGGAAACCCAGTTTTCTCATCATTTTTTGAAGAGGCTGTCTTCTCCCCAGTGCATATTTTGGGCACCTTTGTCTAAATCAGATGACTGTAGTTGCATGGATTTGTGTCTGGGTCTTCTAGTCCGTTGGTCTTCATGTCTGTTTTTGTGTCAGTATCATGCTGCTTTTATTGCTATGGCTCTGTAGTATAGTTTTTTTTGGGGGTGGGGTACCGAGGTTTGAACTCAGGGCCTCATGCTTGCTAGGCAGGTGCTCTACCTCTTGAGCCATTTCATTAGCCCTTTTTTGTGTTGAGTATTTTCAAGATAGAGTCTCACAAACTATCTGCCTTGGAACTGTAACCCTTCTGATTTCTGTCTCCCAAGTAGCTAAGATTACAGACATGAGCCATTAGCACCCAACTTGTAGTGTAGTTTGATGTCAGGTGTTGTGATACCTCCAGCATTGCTCATTTGGGGCAGGATTGCTTTGGCTATTCAAGGTCCTTTGTGCTTCCATATGAACTTTAAAGATTGACTTTTCTAGCTCAGTGAAGAATGTCATTGAATTTTTGATAGCTATTGCATTTAACATATAGATTGCTTTCAGTAGTATAGCCATTTTCACTATATTGATTCTATTTGTTATTTTTTTTTGGGGGGGGGTGGCCCTGGGGCTTGAACTCAGGGCCACTCCACCAGCTCTTTGGCATGTTTTTTTTTCTTTTTGAGATAATCTGCTTTGAAGATGTGTATATTATTGAAATGCCAAGGATTTAGAATATTACATAAACTTAGTTGATAATGCAGTAAAAGGGTTTGAGAAGATTAACTACCATTTCAAAAGAAGTTCTCGAAGGTAAAATGCTGTCAGACAGCATTGAGTGCTCCAGAGGAATCTTGTGTGAAAGAAAGAGTGACCTGCTCTGATGACTTTATTGTCTTTACTTTAAATTTTTACAACCACCCCATCCTTCAGCAGTTCCCATCCTGAGCAGTGTGCACAGTGGGCCTGCCTCCCAGCAGCCCTAAATATTAGGATTCACTGAAGGCTCAGATAATTACCACATGTTTTAGCAATAAACTATCTTATAAATTAAGGTATACAGGACTGGATATATAGCTCCATGGTAGAACGCTTGCCTAACGTGCACAGGGTCCTGGGTTTAATACCTAGTACCACAAAAATAAGACAAATAATGGCATATGCATTGTGTGTTTTAGACATAATGCTGTTGCACATTCATAGATTATAGTGTAATGTAGACATTACTTTCATATGCACTACGAGACCAGGACATCTCAGAGACTTGATTTATTGTGGCATTGCTTTTATTACAGTGGTTTGAAACTGATCCCACAGTGTCTCTGAGGGATGCCTGTCTTTCCCAGTTCTGTACTCTTAGAGAGCTGTTCCACACATTCTCCATTTTCTCTGTTCTCCAATACTTGAGAGCTCTCATATGTTCTGCCTTCCCTTTCCTCACTGATCTATAGTTATTTCTATAACTATATGTATTCCTATATATAAAATATGTGTAATATTACATATTTATAATATATATAGCTATATATATATTTTCTATAACTATATGTATATTTCTATAAGTGGCTCCAAAAGAACCTCTCAATGCTTCAGACTAAGTCCCCCATCTTTTAGTCACTTAGGTCCCCTGGAATCATCTTTCAGTCCTCTCTGCTCACAGCCTGTATCCAGTATGTTAGCTAACTCACTGAACATCATCCTCAGTTCATCCTTTTTTGGGACCTCTGCTGCTGCAGTTTTCTTTGACCACTTTAAAAATGTGTCTAACCTTAGAAGTTACAGCTTCAATTAAATTTTAAAAACGAGTGATGATTTTCTTTCATAGACTTTTTTTGGTGATACCATTATCATTTAAAAGAGCTTTTCTTGGGTGCTTTTCCTGGTATCTACAAGGCCCTAGGTTCAGTCACCAGCACTACAAAAAATAAATACGTAAAAAAAAAAAAAAAAAAACTTAGTCACTTGAAAGACTGAGAGCAGTGGGTTGTGCTTCTCACTGCTCCACGTTAAAGGCAGCATGTGACCTGTCATTCCTATGTGACTTTCCCACACAGCTGCCATTGGATGACATTCTCTTAGGGTCTTCCTCAGCAGGCCAGGTGCAGGGCCAGAGTCAGTTCTGAGACTTACCTCCCACAGTCTCAGGAAGGAACTCCACCTTCCCAGGTCACCTGTTCCAAGGTGCTTTTGTCTGAATTCTTGGGGCACATGAATTAGAAGCAGTAGATACGGGTATATTTTAGGTTGCTGTGTACTAATCTATAGAAAACAGACAGTAGAAACGTGGTCAATTGTATGTTCCTGACTGTATGCTTTTGGAAGAAAAAGTGATGTTAATGTTGCACCTGGTGTTGCATAATATGACCTCGTGGGTCTAGTGCTCAGCCACTGGAGGACGGCTGATTGCGCCCACAGCTGGGGAATGATGTGATTGGAGGGTGATGGGAATGGCTTTTGAAGTTTATTATATATCTGGTATATAATATAGAATTCTCATATCAGTAAAGAATTGGGAACAGCATCTTTTCTGTATTTTTTTTCTAAAGCTTTTCCTTATTCATAAAAATACTACTGAGATTCCTCTATATGGTTAAGTAACTTGTTTAACTCAATGCTCTTTTATCAAAGATTTCTGATAATTAACTGGAGACACAGTTTTTCTGTCTGTAACAGTCATCTCTGTGGGGGTGTGTTCTAGGGCATCATTCAGAAGATAGTGGACAGCCACAAGGTAAAGCACGTGGCCTGCTATGGATTTCGCCTCAGTCACCTGCGGTCGGAGGAGGTGCACTGGCTCCACGTGGACATGGGTGTCTCCAGTGTGAGGGAGAAGTATGAGCTTGCCCACCCACCAGAGGAATGGAAGTAAGATGCCAACCCAGCATGGGGTGACCACGCTCGATTTGCTTTGCATATTAAAAATGTGTATGCTTATTTCCCCACTGCGTGTCAGTGTGACTCCTATACAGGGAAGTAGACAGTAATTATTGCGGTCACTCACCGAACTTCTGCCCTGTCTCCTTATGGGGCAGTAGTGACTTTCCATCCCTTCAGCCATCTGGCTTCCTTCTGTTGTGATGGCCTTGCTAGTCACTTTTTTCTTCAGTGCTGCTTGTTTCCACCTCTTCTCTATCTTGAACTCTAAGTTCTTACTCTTCTTGCTTTCTAATCCATTATTGACCTTTCACATAACAGGGCTTGATGTGCCCACAAGGAGACCATACCTGATTACCTTATTAATGGATTACATAGCTGACTTCCTGTGTCCAGTAATCTACCACTCAAAAATAGAATGGGTGTATGATATTCGCATATTACATTATAATTAGCTAGTTATCTCTTAGTCTTTTAGAAACATTAATGAAACCGAAATTGTTTCAAGGAGAATTAAACAAATTCCCTGTGATTGTCCTGTTTCTGGTTCTCTGCTAATAATTTTTTTTTTTTTTTTTTTTTGGCTATTAAGTAAATCAGAATGTTAGTTGGGAATTAAACATCTAGAATATTTTTGCAAGAACTATGCCTGTAAAAATGGGCTTTGTCCACAGGGTTCCTGTTCACATATGTTTCAGAAATGAAGATAGAGGCTGAAGAGTGCACATAGGGTACCAGTAGCTTTTAGTCAAGGATCTACATCAGTTGGGTAGACATTTTAAAAGAAAAATAGGCATGTTTAGTGGAATAAATCTGAAGTTGAATAAAATCTTGTCTCAGAGAAATATAGTTATATTTTCAGATTTGTCAATTTGATTGTTTTACATCAATAGCCAGGGAAGATTTGACTTAAGGTTAGCAATTAAGTGTTTAAAAACTAAGAATATCTAAAAATCAGATAAAAACCTACAGATATTTTATTTAACAAGTTCTGTTATCTTCTTCATGTCACAGGAAAACATCATTCTAATGATATCCTTAGTGTTCAATAAAATACTCCGTGAATCTAAATCTCTTGAGGATAATAGTTTTTTTAAAGCCAATTAATTTAACCTTATTTCCAGTAAAGTTGAATGTGATTTGCTGTTGATAGCAGATTAGATGGAGTAGAAAGCTAGTAACTATATAGGTGGAGAGTGTTGAAAATACTGTTTGAAACATGGCCCAGAGAGATGTGCAGAAGAAATGTGAAAGTAAGTTGACAGAACATGGAGAATAATGCCCAACACGTTTCTAATAGTAACTCTACAAGAAGCCAATATCCCAAGAGTTAATGGCTGTGAGAGTATTGTAGACTGGACAAACGACACGAATCCTCAAATACAGACTGACATAAAATCCCAGAGTTAAGTAAGACCTGACCTTATGCTTTCACGGGTTGTAATAAAGTAGTTTGTAATGGTAAACAAGACAGGATGTTAAGAATATCCAGAGAAAAATTCAGACTTCCCAACAGTAACAATAAATGTTTGGGCAATAGTGGAAAAAATGTGGTCAAAGGCAGTAAGAAAAACCAAGTGGTAACCCGTAATCATTTGGCCACTCAAATTGCCATTTAAGAAACAGGTGACATTTACCTCAAGAGCATTTGCCACTGAGGGAGAAAGGAAAACGATCTTTGAAGGAGAGTTTAAAATGTAAGAACAAAAAATTGGTTAGAGCTAAACATGCATTGGCTCCAAAAAATGAAAGTCATGAGAAGAACTGATTTTCAATGGGAAGATCTGTAGCCTAAAACATAAGTAGAATGGGAGCAAAGTATACCAGCATATAATAACCAGGAAAAAGCAATTGGCATTGTCTTGTTAATTTCATTATTAGAGATAGAGGGCAGCGATGTAATAAAAAAATAAAGCTACTTCACCATATATTTAATAATTAATCTTCACTTGGCTTCCCTGATGATGGCTGTTCTGATTTTCCTCCTGTATCAGTGACCTTTCTGCTCTTCCCTACTTAGCCTTCACAGTTTGGGGTGCTCTAGTAACTTCTCTAGTTCTTCCCCAGACTCGCCTTTGTCATTAAGTCCACATTGGATGGAGATAGGAAAATCAGTAAGCAAGCTTTCAGTCACCTGGGCAAACCAACTAAAGGTGAGAGGGTAGGGAGCAGAGGGAATGGTGGGAAGTGGAAGACTGGGGGAAGAGGGGATCTCTCTATCTTAGAAAATGCTGAGGGATGTGCTGGGAATCCTTTAGAGTATCCAGTTATATGTGTGAATTATTTCTGTATAGAAACTTCCAGTAGCTTCTCAGCACACAGGGCAAACTCCAGAAGTTCTCTTGCCCTCCTCCCTCCTAGTCCTGCTGTTGTAGCTCTCCTTCCCCAGCTCTAGTGAAGTTGGTCCCTTTGAAGTTTCACTTTTCATTTAAGTCTCTAATGTAGCCCAGAGCTGTTTTTATAAATACCGGATTGGCATCTGTGTAGGTAGTCTTTTGTATCTTGTTCCCTTTGTTAATTTATTAATTGGTGTATTGTATAGCCCTCTTTCTCAGCTCAGGCTTCCTCTGTCTCACTTCTGTTTTGGCCTTTGCCTTTTACAGCTTTTCACTTACTGACTCCAGTTCCCTGGCTTTGTCATTGCTCTTGGCCATGCTCCTCCTGCTGCCCTTGGTGTGACAGCAAGTATGTTCTTTTATACTTACCAGCCAGGCTTAGGCCTCTTTTATTCAGGGCAGGTACTCAATCATCAACACTTCCCCATGGCCTTTATATTTGTTCATCTTTCTCCCTCAGGGACTTTTTCTTATTCATCACTCTAATCCTGGTATAGAATAGTATCCAGTAAGACTTTTTAGGAAAATGGAATAAGTTAATACATTGAAATTGTAATTATTTTCATTATCAAAAATAATATGATGGTGTAGAACCATGTATTCAACTAGGAACCAAGCAGTTTTAGTTTAAGGTAATGAAAATGAACTTGCTTCCATTCATTCATATTTGCGGATGAATTTATTTGACCTAAAAACTGCCATGTAAATTTTGCTTTGGCTGTGCTCCATAATTTTGATAGTCTTCCTCATCAGTGGGTGTGTTGTAAATGCTCTAAGATTTCCCCTTTCAACCACAGGATTATTTAGTGGTATGTAGTTGAGGCTTCAAATATGTGTATGCACTTATAAGATATTACTGGTTATTGATTTGTTTTCTTGCATTGTAGGAGAACTTTTTATGATGGTTTTTTTTTCCTTTTTTTTAATTTAAACCATTGAGGTGATTCTTTGAGCCTTAAGTTTTTGATCCCTTTTTGATTGAATGTGTGTTCTGTGATTATAAAGAGGTTAAGTATGCTTCTGTACATTTTCAAGCTGGTTTTATTATTTGAAGGATTTATATTGTTTATGTTTTTCCTGGTTAAAATATGACATGTTGCTGGGTGCCAGTGGTTTATGCTTGTAATCCTAGCTATTTGGGAGTCAGATCCCCCTGGTATCTGGGTAGAAGGCAGCCCAGGCAAGTAGTTTGAGAGACCCTATCTTCAAAATACCCAACCCAAAAAACAAGGCTGGCAGAGTGACTCCAGTGGTAGAGCTCCTGTCTAGCTAAGCCTGAGGCCATGAGTTTAAACTCCAGTATTGCAAAACAAACAAACAAAAACTGACATGTTAATCTATCCAACTATAATTTTTGATTTACTTATTTTTTGAGTGATTCTCTTCTAACTCTTTGTATTTAAGGCTATAAGTTAAGTACATCAAGGTTTATGATCATAATATCCTCTCCTATACTTCTTGTTACCAGTACACACATTCTTAAATGCATCTTGTCAAGAACATACTGTATTTGAATTAATGAATTATGGCCCACTTAGAGGTGTTCTGAGAATGTGATTCCTGTTGATGCCTCCACAGGCAGCCAGACTCCTTACTTTAACATCATCATTTTCTTGCTTTTTAATGGAAATGTTCTACTTACGTTGTCTAAGTCTGAGATCATGATCATTCATTACTGGACTCTTACTGGACAGCCTTGGCAATCAGTGATAGTCTTCCTGAGCAGAACACACTATTGATAGTATATGAAGTTCTTGAAAGCATCCAGTGTAGCTGTTGGTCAGCTCCAAGAGGCTGCAGTGACTTGGCATTAGGTGCAGAAGCATGGTGAGATTGGGCTGCTTGGAACTGGTTGGCATTTGGAATCATGTTCTTTGGAGTCTGTTTATGTTTGGCTGAACTGGAGAAGGAGCCAAACTAAGAAGAAGCCCTACTTAGTTGACCTAGAAGTGCACATCCATTGAGGAACATTACCAGTTGATTGATTAAAGATGCTGTAGAATCAGTGTCTGTTGAGCCAGTGGCTTTATAACTGATATTTATTGACCTAGTTGGTTTAGAACTTATTTTGATGGGTATTTACTACCACACCAGACAGTTACCTTTCTGAGTGTGGGATTTTTAAGAGTCACAGTATGTATCTAAAGTAGCAAATAATAGTACCCAGAAGTCCTCTGTACTCTTTACAAAGCTTCTGTAAACGTGTAAATCTTGTATAAACCTAGTACAGCTGTTAAAGCCAGAAAATTAGCATTGATGCAAGTACTTGATCTACTCTACAGGCCACTTCCACGTACCGTGGTTGTCCCACTTGCTGCCCTGAGAGTACACAGAGCCAGTTCACTGTCATATTTCCTTTAGTCTTCTCCAGTCTGGGACATTTGCTCAGTCTGCCTGTGGTATTCATGACTTTGACACTTTGAAGAGTACTGACTAGTTTTTTATGCTGTGCTCCTCGACTTGGTTTTGTCTGCTGTCTTTTTTCATGATTTTATTAAGGTTATGTATTTTTGGCAAAACTACAATCAAGATGCTGCACCCTTCCCCCATCCCCCAAAAATTAAAAATTAAAAAAAAAGATGTTGCACCATTGTTGTATCATATCAAGAAGGCTATAATGCCAGTGACTCAGTTTGCAGGCGATTGTAGCTGGCCTCATTTGGTTATGGTGATGGTAGCTGGCTTTCTCCACTGTGAAGGTAGTTTCCCCTTTGTAATTAAGAAATAACTTCTGGGGGAGATACATTGAGATTGTGCAGATACCCTGGTTCTCATTATGCTTTCCCCCACTAATCTTCATATTAATTGGTGGCTCTGTCTTGGAGTGATGTATTTCCTTTTCCATCCTTCTCAGTTTTAAAAAAAGATTTATTTATTTAGTTGATGGAATTAGGGTTTGAACTCAGGGCTTCACATTTGCAAAGCAGGCCCCCTACCACTTGAGCCATGCCTCCTGTCCATTTTGCTGTGGTTATTTTCAGAGGTGTGTGTGGGGGGGGTCTCATGAACTATTTCCCATCCTCCCGATTTCAGGCTCCCAAGTAGCTGGGATTACAGGAGTGAACCACGGGTGCCCGGCCCATCTCAGTTTTTTAAAATGTGAAGTTTATCATGAGAACGAGCTTGTCCACACTGTGTTGTTCATGAGGATCATTTGTGTTGCTTTGTGAAATTGTACTTTACTTCGTTACACAGACTGGCAGGTAATCCATCTTAGCACCAGGGTTACTGGATTTTTAGTTCACCTTGGCTTTTCTGAAACGCTCTACTGCTCCTACCACAAGCTGTCTAGCTGGTGAGTATCTGAGTGCTTGAAATTGGCCATGAGCTCAAGGAAGCTAGATGACAGTGGTACTTAGAGGAATGGCATGCTCAGAGCAGGAGTAGCGGGTGATTTTATTTGCAGCATGTTCTGTTTGGCTGCTTTTTGAGACTTGCATTGTATATCATGATACTACCAGACTCTTACTGCAGTAAACGCGTAAAGACGAGGGTGTGCCTCATGAAAGAGAGGGTATGACAGGGCTCTTGTGGGCAGTGGAATGTGCATGTTAAGGAATAAAGACAAGTGATTCACCTGGAATTAAATCAAGCCACTTTGAGCAAAGTTCCAGAATGGGTTTGTATAAAATATGCTGGACTCCAGTGTGTTGAAGCAGGGATGGGAAACCTTACCATGGTCTAAAGGCCTTACCTACCTACACATACCAAGCTTGATTTAAGTTCTCCCATGTTTTAAGTCACAGGTGCAATCTTTTCATTTCATTCCCCCTTTGGATGTTTGTGCATGTTCTTGCTGAAGAGGAATCCTGTGTTTACTCCTTTTTTTCTTTATCTTTTTTTTTGTTTGTTTTTGTGTGGTACTGGGGTTTGAACTCAGGGCTTCATGCTTGCTAGGCAGACACTCTACCACTTGAGCCACTCTTCCAGCCCCCTGTGTTTACTCCTTAATAGGTGGGAACCTTGGGAAAATTAGATAATTCCCTACAGCTCTTTTATTGGGAAAACAGGATGAATGTATACCTGTTATTGTCACTGAGCCTTTGCTGTTGGCTCCTAACAGCACCCTGCTTCCTCCTTTTGCTCTTGTTGTTGTCTGTTCCCTGTAGTTTAGTCTAGTTGAGAGAAACATGAATTCTGTGATGTCACTGCTCTGCTCAGCCACACTCCACTGGCTTCCTTTCTGACTGAGAAAGAGCCCCATGGTCATAACTTTCGAGGTGACTTGCCACCTCCTAACCTTACCTTCTCTGAAGTCTCATTTCTACTCATATCCTTGCTCGATCTACTCCAGCTTGGTTTGTCTTCTTGTATCCTCTAGCCCCAGGTCTTTACATAGCCTGTTCCATTCAGTTGGAATTCTTTTCCCTATGTGTTACTGCACAGCTCCCTTCTTAAATCTTTGTTCGAAGATCACTGTGTTGGAATGCCCTTCATCTACTGCTCTTTGTGAAACACTGCTTTCTCACTTGTCACTTACATATTTGTCTTTTTAACATTTATTCCCGCCTTACTTAAATTCCTATTTGCTCTGACCTGAATCACAAAAGCAAGCTTTTCAAGAGCTAGCAGCTTGCCTCTTTTAGAAGTATTTGATGAGTAATGACTAGCTTAATTAACTTTCCAGGCCATTTATTATGCTAGTGACTATTCTAGGTATCTTCTGTTTACACTCAGTTATTTCTCCCAACTTTCTTATGAGGAAATTGAATCTCAGAAGGGTGATGGCCGACGGTGACATGAACACAATTGGAATATAGGCAGAGAACCCACATTCTCCTCATGAAAAGAAGCATTGTAAAATGCTTATTGAAATTTCTGTCAGGTGCTACGTGTACACTAAATACTTGGTTGATATCCTTTACTGCATGCTTGATATGGCACCAGGCTGACCATGTTTGATTTTGGACCTCAGTGTCCTCATCTTTAAAATGGGTACAACATTACAGTGTGTCCTGAACATGGAGCCCTGGCACCGACTCCTCATTTTTTCTGAGCATTGACTCCTAGTGTGCAAAACTCCAGATGAAAAGAAGTAATTAAGTACCTGCTAAGTCCTAAATTCAGACTAGATGAAATCTGTTATGCTTCTGTAAATAGTTGAACACATGTGGTAGCCAAAGTGAAATGAACCCAATTGTGCAGAGAATGAACCGGCGTTTGTGTATTAGTCGGTGGGCCAGCGTGATCCTTGGGCTGCAGGCCCTGAGTTCTCATCATGCTGGCCTCCTTCTACAGCTCCTGGGCTGTAACACTCCAGAGACGTATACATGTTTTGTGCTGAAGAGTAATCTCAAAGATTGCACTTGATCTTATTTTTAAAATCATAATTTGGAGACGTAGTATTACACTTGTAGACCATAAATTGAGAAAATCACTTTTTTGTAATTATTCTATTTTGTGAATTATTTTTTAGATATGAATTGAGAATTCGTTATTTGCCAAAAGGATTTCTAAGCCAGTTTACTGAAGACAAGCCAACTCTGAATTTCTTCTACCAACAGGTATAAAATGCTTTAATATACTTTTTTGCATCTTATATGTTACAAATTTCTAATTAGAACTAGATTAAATACAAATTGATCAGTGTAACGTAGTGAGAATCTTTAGCCAATGAAAAATTATGAGTTTTTGTACTTTGTGAACTTTTATAAGCTCAAACAATTCCTAAAAGATGCTTGTTTTATGTGGAGTCGCTAAGTCCACAACTCTTGTTCTGTTTTTACTTCAAGTACAATTATACCTGATTATAATAAATGTTTCTTACGTAGAAATTTTGTCAAAGTGCACTTTACCTATATAATCTTGGTAATAATTTGCTTATTAAAGCTATAATGGACTCTTTTTGTGAAGGGTTTTTTTCAAGATGGGGTCTCATGGAACTACTTGCCCAGGCTGGCTTTGAACCGTGATCCTCCTCAGTGGCTAGGATTACAGGCGTGAGCCACCAGGGCCCAGCTAGTAGATTGTTTTTTCTTCCTTAGTCAACAGATATATGTGGCATACTAAGGTACTAAGATGATAGCATAACCAAATAAATGTTACTTGTTAATAATGCTGAATACCCCCAAAAAAGACTGATGAATATCAAGGCATTTACGTATATAATTTTGTCTTCAATGTACATATGCATTGAGTGTCTATTATGAATCAGGAATGCCAAAATTATAATTTGCACTTCCCTCTGTCTTGGGGAAAATTCTTAGTTTCCCTGTGTTGGATCCAGTCATGACTGACAGGACTGCGTGTAGAAAGGCCTGCTAGCCCAGAAGTCCACCTTTAGATCAGGAAGAGTTGCACTTTCTCTGTAGGAACAGGAAGGGGAGAGAGAAAACATGTTTAAGTGTGAGCTAAAATTCTATGCTAAGAAACAAGAGAGATGTAAATAGAGTAACAGAGGTTTTCTCCTGCAGGTTATTGGGAGCCATTTAAACCATGTAATGAGGCAGTGCCTTAATCAGAATTTTCACATTTTTAAATGAGACTGCCCTGCTTTGAGAGTGACGGAGTGGATTTGTAAAAGGCTGCACACATGTTTGGAGGCTCTTTAACTATTCCAACAAGAATTGTAGTGGATTGATTTGATACGATCTAGCTGTTAAGCTAACATGGATCATGCAAATGAAGAAATACCCTTGTGTAAATCTAGGCATCTAGTACCAGGATAAAGCAATAATGGATTACATTCAGTAGAGGAGATAAGACGGTAAACATGTTTTTCTTTATATGGTAGATAGCAGTAGATGTTTCTAAGGTTTCACAGTGAGAGAGCAGGAAGCTAAGGAAGTTTCCAGCTATTGGGAGTGGGTTGGTCTCTGCTCTCTTATCTGTGAGATAGAATTGTATATACAAAATTTAAGATGCTAGGGAAGGGACTCATGGGAATTTGGGGCGGTTTGTAGTAATACAAAGTTGAATGAGAGAGGGAGTCAAGTTGGGCAGAGTGAATAGAGAAGGCACATTTAGATTCCACTTGAGATTGTTGGAGTTTTACCCAAGGTGAGGAAGTGATTTCCAGTTTATAAACAGGTTCTTAATTATTATATGTAATCCATTAGCTATCTGCTGAATTTCATACTGTGGTGAAGGTGGTGGCAAGAGAGTTTAATTAACTGGCATGTTTTTATGGCTTATGCATCCCTCATCTGAAGTGTTCCTATCTAACCAGAATTGTATTTTGATCTTGGAGTATTTTCAGGTATATACCAAGATATCTTGGGATGGAACACAAGTGCACACACAGAATCATTTATATTTCATGTATACTTTTGTACATAGGCCAGAGGTGATCTTATGTAGCATTTTGAAATACTTTATTTTCTTCTTATGTCATCATGTTGGTACTCAAAAAGTTTTGGGGTTTTGGAGCACTTTGGATTTCAAATTGTCGGATTAGGGTGCGCAACCTATATTGTGTTTTTCTCCCTGCTAGATCACCTATATTGTTATTGGCATAGTTTCTTTGAAAGAATCTATCTACTAAGGAAATGCATGGCTAACTTGGTGACATTAATTTCCAGAATGCATCATACAGGTCTGAATAGCTCACTGTAACTCCTTTTATAATTTCTAGGCTAACCTAAAAGTTGACAACCTTTTGTTCCTTCACCCTAGTTCTGGGCTGTCCTAGTTTTTCCTTTTTGATAAACTTTGTGCTCAGCAGTTCCCAGTGTGAATGACAGTGGGTCCAGATCTCCTTTCCCAAGAAGAATCCAGTTGAATAGTCTATAAAACCCAGAGAAAGCAAAGCACAACACACACTGAATACTCTTGTGTGCCTGCTGTGCAGATGGCAGCTCTGTGACCTGAGGTACTTTTGATTCTCTCCTGCTTGTTGTCACATCTACTGCCATAGAGTCAGATGGCACCTACCCATAGGATTGTTATGTTGATTAAATAAGATAAAGTTGTCTGCAATGTAATTGTCCAATCATCTTTTGAAGTTTGCTCTGCAGACAGTGCCAGGCAGCTGAAGATTGAGCATTTACTATTTGCAATCAAGATGCAAGTGTGAACCACACACTTGGGATGGCACATGCCTCTGTGTCTCCTCCCCATGCCCTCTAGGACCCTGCCAGCTCTCCTCAACAAATCTGTTATCCATTTCTGTTTCTCTTCTTTACCCATTTCCTTTTTAAAAATCTGTTAAATCACATAGCACATTTTTAGAAAGGCCAGAAAATATGCCAAAATACCACGTAAATCATCTCTGCTATCACATTTCTTTTGTGTGTGCTTTTATAGTAGTTTCACAAGTGCACACCTTTTATAAGAAGTGCAGATGTAGTTAGAGTCCTGCCCTGTCCGTGTTGATTGCTAGGGTCTTAGGCTCAGGTGACAATAAGTAGAAATTTTTGAGGGCAAGATGATGCTGCAGCCACAAAGAAGAGGGGAAGAAGGGAAATGTATGAGTTCTCAGCACAGACGCATCACCATGTCTCCTGAGTCTTCAGCCTAGGCCTGCCCTGCGAAGCACCCAGATCAACATCGGTATTTTGAAGTTTATTCTAAAGAAGTGACAAGACTCACACATTGGTCTGTCTGTAACAAGGGCACTTAGGGACATTACAGAAACAAGGAGATTGGACACATTGCACATGTCTGTCAGGAGGGAAGTTATGCTGAGTTTCAAATCTGTGTATCTATCATAGGCTGTTGTTTAAATCAGGCCATGAGTGAAACTTGGAATTCCATTTGTGTGAAAAAGTGTATATATTTTTTATTTGTGATCTAACAAAGTTTTGAGAATATTTCAGCTTTTCATTGCTAGTTTGGCAATTTATTAGGTATTTTGGGTTCTTGTGTTAACATCTCAGTGCAGATTTAGGCCTGGGACGGGCTTTCTAATTCCACAGCCATTACAGAAAAGCAATCCATATGCTGCCCTATAAGGCAGTTCCCAACTCGAGTACAGGCTTAATTGTAAAGTTGAAAACCTGTTAAGAATTGAAAATGTTCTATTTAAACAGATACACGCACAGGTGCACACATGGAATAAATGAATAGGCCCCTTAAGCTCTTTGTATCCAGTGAGAATGCAGCTGGAATACTGTGTGAGAACTTGCTGCAGAAAGTGTCACTAAACACTGAGATGAGACAAATCATGACGAAAACATAGATGTATGTATATACACACATACTTTCACTGAATTAACTGAGCTAACTCAGTCCATTTTTAAGGAGCCCAGAATTTGATGACATTAACTATTTTTAATTATTTACACTTTGTAATATCCAAAATGTGTTTTCTTTTGTAAGAATGTCCTGATGCTTCCTAGTCCCATGTTCCCCCTCCCCATGTCTCCCCCTCCCCCACCCTCACATTTTATTTATTATTCCCCTGCTTACTTTTGTTGACCACTTGTCACGTTTTATTCTATGTGTGTTTCATTCCTACCTCTAAAGTAAAAGTTGACTCAACAGGGCTCTGCATTTCTATCATTGGCATGAGCTTACTCTTGGCTTTGTTTGTCTCCAATTGATCGAAGCACTGGAGAAGATTAAACAAACACTCTGTTCAGCATTTCCAGTTGCTTTCAGTGAGCAGATTGGTTAGGACACCTGATTGGTAGAAATAGAAGTGAATATCCAGGAACTTAAAATTTTATCCCTTTTGGTTCATTTAAAAAATAACTCTGCATTGTGATTAGAGACTGTAGTTCATTTCATACTGATAGTTTTAATTTTGTTTAGATTTGTTTCATCATCCGGTATGTATTTAGTTTTTGCAAAAGTTCTGGTTTTGCTTAAATGGAATGTTTCCTCTAGTTATTCAGTGTGGGCAGTTAACACCTGTTCATTCTGTTGTTCAGATCTTCTTTGTCTCTAATACCCCTTTTCTTGCCTGAAGAGAGCTCTGCTGGCTGTGCACGTGAGATAGTCAGTGATTTTCTCTTGGTGCTCCAGCAGTATGTCTTACTGTCTTTGATTTCTGTTCTGGCCATGGAGAAGTTGGCTCTGATTCTGTTACTTTGTAGGTGATCTGTCTTTCCTCTCTGGCTGGGTCTAAGCTCTTCTTTTGTTTTGGACTGTGTGCAGTTCCATTACAAAGCAGTTGTGAATTTCCATTTTCTGCTTGATCTCTGTTGTGCTCTTCATGCCTTAGGTTCAAGTGTTTCTCATTACCTCTAGATATGCCTTGATATGGTTCAGATATGACCTCAGTTCTTTGTTATTCCTTCTGGGGTTTCGGTTGCCATCTGCATTGGAACTCTCAGTTTATCTCTCCATACTTATTAATTTCTTTTTCATATTTATAGGTCCTGTCTTTTCTGGGATGTATAATTCAAATGTATCTGGCAGATTACCAGCTCTCCCCGGTTGTGACACATTTTGGTTTTATTTTACTTATTTTTTAACCTTTTATTACCGTTCAAAAATTATCAGACTATGTTTTATCACCCTTATTATTTGCAGTCTGCCACGTTTCCTTTTCTCCCTCTCTTCCTTCCTCCATCCAGGCTTGTGCTTACTTGCAGGCACTCTATCCAGCCCCAGCCCTTTTTTTTGCTTTAGTCATTTTTCAGATAGAATCTCACATCTTTGCCCAGGGCTGGCCTTGGACTGTGATCTTCCTACTTATTATCTCCCATGTAGCTGGATTATAGGTGTGCACCACCATGACTGGATTCATTCATTGAGTCTCACTAACTTTTTCCTCTGGGCTGTCCTTGAATTGTGATCGTCCCCATCTGTGCCTCCTGAGTAGCTAGGATTACGAGTGTGAACCCCTTCACCTGGCCCTAGGATTCATATAATCTGTTGGAGAATGTGAGCAATTTTTATATTAAAACTTTAATTCTACTGCAGAGTAAGATGAAAAAACTCCTATAAATACAACATTTGCACAAAGGAGAAAACCCAACTCCATCCTGGGATTTCCCCATTGGTGCTGATGATCCATCGTAGGGCCTTGCTCTTGCTAGGCAGATGCTCTTACCACTGGGCTACCTCCACAGCCACTCCCTTACTTTTTAAGCAGAAAATTGACATGGAAAAAATTAATTAAAAACAAAATACTTTCGGGGGGAGTTGCGCACATGCACGCATGTATGTGCGTGTGTGTTTGTGCGTGCACGCATGTGTGGTGTCCTAGAGATGGAACCCATGCTAACCAAGTGTTCTCTACCACCAAGCCACATCTGAGCCCTCAGAGGTCTTTTCTTAAAAGGATCTTGCAAATTTGCTGAATGTGGAGTGATTCCAGTTGAAAAGTGAAAACAACATGATGCCATGAACCAGGAGATTGATGGGAAACCATTGGGCTATGTCGTGAGGGTGCAAGGGTAGATAAGGTGTTGGTCCTGCTACTCCATTGCAAATGCCCATACTGTGAAAGTTCTTGAGAAGATGTAGGTACAACCGAAGCCCAAATTTTAAGGGACTAGTAAATCTGGGTTTTAAGTCTTGTCTTTACCGCTTGCTTATGAGACTCCATGTGAATTTAAAAAAAAATTCTGATCTTGTATATACAATAGTACTAGTAAATTCTTACCTTGAAGAATTGCCATAAAGGTCAGAAATGATGGGTGTAAACATTTGGGGTAGGGCCTGGCCCCAGGTAGATGCTTCTCAGGTGTCAGTAGTTGCTCTACTATTGTCTGGAGCCTTCTCTCCATGCTTGTTCTTAGGCTCTACAATAGGGATGGCAATAGTTCCCTGCTCACAGTAACGGTGCAAGGATTCAATAAGATGCTACTTCTTAATTGCCTTAATGTGGTATATATACTTCAAAGTATATACGCTTTAAAGTATAATACAGTCACATGTCATTCATTTGTAGCTATAGGACACGTTCTCAGTAATGCTTTGTGAGGTGAGTTTGTCATTGTGCAAACTTCATCGAGTGTACATGAACAAAGTAAGATGGCTACAGCATAACCAGACGATTCAGTCTTTGGGATCATTGACATACATGTGGTCACATCATTGATGAAGTGTCATTATGTGGTGTGAAAATAATTCTGGGAGTATAGGAGAGACAAGTCATGAAATATTTGATAAGGAAAATGAACACAGTGTGGAGAACCCTGAGTTGTACAGCTCTAACTGTGGCTGTGCTTAGTGGCTGCAGAGAGCCATTAAGGGAAGCTAGAGGACAGGCAGCCCTGTGACACTTGAGTGGATGTGTTTTCTCACCATAGTAGAGGGACAGGGGGTTACAAGTTCTGTTTTATTGGCCTGTTTCATATAGGGTCAGTGCCCTTTGCAGAATGCAAGGATCGCTTTAGACCACGACTGGATTTCAGACTGTGGCTATGACGCACTGTCAACAGTAGCAGATTGGAACTGTAGGAAGTCACTTGGAAGTCATTATCCCTTCATGCAACTAATTTGAATTTGGTTTTGTTGATGAAGTAGAACACTTGATTCTGTTTTCCCAACTGTGAATAGTGTTTCAAATTCACAGCAACTAATCTTTCAGATATTTTCACAATGTATGCTTCCTTCTGCAAGTCCTTAAGGGTCTGCAGTGGCTCCTCTGAAATCTGCCTCAGGTGACAGAGCCACTGTCGACTTTCGTGCTCCTCTGTCTGCCCAGATACCTGTCTCTTGTGTTCAGTGAGAAAGCTGCTTATGATAACAAAAACTGAGTTTTAAAATTTGGACCTATTACTTGTTTTGTAGAAGATAGAACCAACATAGGTGTAAATAAAATGACTCTAGAGCTAAAGCTTTTTATTTAACCGCCTGAATCTAATTTGTAACCCAGCTCCAGTCAGTCAGTGCTGAGTGGCCACTGTGTGCCAGAAATAAAAACTTTTGTTGCTTCTAAGTTTGTTCTATGAAGAATAACACTTACATACAGAGATACCCAAACCCTGACATGATGGCTGTTTATCTGTTCTCCCATTTGCCTTCTCATCCATTTAATAAATATGTATTGACCACCTAGGTCTAGGTGTCAGTGCAGAAATTAAAGCAAAGATATTGAGAGGAAGTAGTGGTCAGGTCAGGAACGGCACATGTTGTCCCCTGCTGGAGAGGGGACAGTTCTCCTGTTGTAAGAGAACAGAACGAGTAGATGACAGCATGTGCACTTCAGGTGCTCCTGGTAGGTTGATGAGAATACTCCCATCTCATGTCTTCCGTCTTCTCTGTGAGAAAGATGTATGGTACGCTGACTGCAAAATTGGTGTGTTAGGAGAACGCCATAGGCAAGCATTGTTGAATTTCCAGGCAGGGTTAGCTGAGGTTTTTCATAAAGTGTTTAAGGTGAACTGCTGATTTCTGTATTTCTTCAGCTGTTTAGCAATATGCAAGGGAGGAAGGGTGGCTGGCTCAGTTTGGGTTAGGTTTACTGAGCAATTAAAATAGACGGGTAATGGGATATAGGGTACTTGCGGGGGTCTTTGTAAGGCAAGCTCATAATGATAGACCATCCATGATAAGGTTGATGTAGATTGGTGTGAAAGTAAGTGGTTAATTAACAGAGTGGAAATTCTTGAGCAAGGAGCTGGATGGCTAGAAGATAGAAGATAAAGGTGTTTGAAATTTTTTCTTGGGCAGACTTTTTTGTGTAAAGGGAGCTGGAGAGTTAATGAGTTACACTTTGAAGACCAAGAAACAATTTGAAGGCATTATGAAAGTAGTTACATAGCAAGAGAGGAAACAAATTTACATACATTCTGTATTTATGACATTCATAATGCATTTGAGTATAGTTTTCAGTCATAGATGTGGTATGAGGAAGGCAAATAACACTTCACTTGAGGTTCACATTGAGTGCCCCCATCCTCAAAATTAATTGCAAATGTCGCTCTCTTAATGCTGAATCTGTAATGGGATGTGGTACGGATGTTAACTCTGAAAATGTTGTCACGCTGATGGGTACTCACAAGTGTTAATGTCATTCATCAGCAGTTTTGGTTGATTTATGTTCATTGAGTAAAGGTCTTTCTTGTATTAGCTTCCTTTCTTTGTATTAGACTTTAAGCGTGTTACTGCTTTTCAGATTAATCACTTACAATCAGTGTTTAGGTGGAAGCACTTTGGATTTTGAAGTTTATAAATTTTCTTGGCCTTTGTATTTGGGTCCCCAAAATACTTTGGGAACAGTTCTTGGTGCTCAGAAAACACATCTACTGCAAGTGTTCGAGGAAATGGAACTGTCTCTGCTTGTTTTCACTTCTGACCACCTGGGAAAAGTATGAAACAGCTTAGCATTGCTATAATGCAATGTGTGAGCTGTTCCTAAATTCCCATGTAAAAGATTATAAGAGCTTTTCTTGGTGGCAGACTTACTTGTTTGGTTATTATGGTATTACTCATATTCTGCATAATTACTAACACAGTATAAACATATTTGCCAGGTACTCAGCAGGCATTGACTGACTGGCTGCATTGCAGAGCTTTGTCTTTAAAACAGCACTGTTTCCTTCTCGTGGCAGGTGAAGAGTGACTACATGCTGGAGATAGCTGACCAAGTGGACCAGGAAATTGCCTTGAAGTTGGGTTGTCTGGAAATACGGTAAGTGACAACTGTACACTTAAGTCTTCGTTCACCCATATTTTTCATTATCTTTGAAAAATATCCCTGTGTTTTCCTTTCCCTGTAATGTTATCAGTGAACTCTTAAGTGGACTGTGAGAAAATTATGAATTATTTGTTTATTGTTGGGGTAGTCCTCCTGTCCACACACACACCTAATGTCTTCCCTGATTTAGGCGGTCGTACTGGGAGATGCGGGGCAATGCACTGGAGAAGAAGTCCAACTATGAAGTATTAGAGTGAGTATCCGCTCGAGCTCCACCTGCCCATAGTCACGGGCAGTTTCCTGCCTTGTCTTCACTTAGAACTAAATGTTGCTGTCTCTAAAACTTTCTTATTTTGACAATTCCTGATGGCATTAATTTTGTTAGCAGACCTTCAGATTTCTTGATAAATTTCTTGTGAGGAAGAGAGAACACATGATACATATAACATGTTTCTGTCTATAGACTTATTTACACTGGAATGACATTCTATTTTACATTGAATTCCAGAATTGCATATAAATTACTCAAATCAGTAGTTTTCTCTAGTTTATTAGGGATCTTCCCCCCACAAATTGACGTACGGTGGTTACTCATTGCACCCGTATCAGAACATTTAGACTATCTAAGGGTCTGGGCATGTCCTGCCTGTGATTCCGCCTACCTAGGAGGTAGACTGTGGTCCAGAGCCAGCCACAAGCAAAATTGTGAGGCCCTGTCTGGAGTGCATGGCTCAAGTAGTAGAGAACCTGCCTAGCAATTGTAAGGCCCTGCATTAAATTCCCAGTACTGTCCCATCCATCTTCCCCCCACCCCCCAAAAAAAGAAATTCAGATTATCTAAAACTTGTTTGGTAATGAAATTAGTTCACGTATTAGTGTGTTACATTAGATTGTTTAAAATACATTTGAGCCAAGCTGGAGCTTATGTCTTAGTATCCTAAGAAATCTTACTTCATCTTTTTCAGTAATTAATTTAGCAAAATATAATTGCTATTTGTTATAACCTAGTAAAGATCTGATTTACTTTTATGTTTTTCCAACACTTCCTCTGGCTGTATTATTATTGAAGTTCTTATGTGAGAGATGGTTCTAAAACAAAGGGAAAGGTTCCCCATAGCTGCTCTGCTGTGATAAAGACACACATGGCTTTAATTTTGTGTGGGCTTTCTAGGTCAGCCCACTACTTTCACACTGAGATTTAACATCCCCCATTTTGAAAATAGGATCTTGTAGCAGAGGCACGGTCACTTAAAAATAAGAGTAGCAATAAACATTTTTGGAAAACATTTACAAAGCCAGGAGAATCATTTCAAATCAGGACTGACGGTAGTAGATGGTAGAGAGTAGTAAGCCTCCTTGAGGCCAGATTGTGAAGTGTGAATTTGTGTATCCTCACTTCAGAGTGCTGAAAGCTTAATGCCACTCTGTTGCATTGGCTTCTGACACTCTGTGAACAAGGTAGGCACTTAGCAGTTATTTGTGATTGTGTTTATGAAGTTATCTGTCACCTATGTTGAGCCTCTTAACAGATTAGATAAAGACAAAAGAAACGTTTTTGTTTAAATCAAAACTGTTAGCAGCCACGCTTCAGTGTAATTCTAGCTACTCAGAGATCAGGAGGATCGGTTTGAAGCCAGCTCAGGCACATAGTTGCAAGACATTATCTGGAAAGCATCCAACACAAAAAAGGAGTGGCTCAAGGGTAGAGCACCTGCTTAGCAAGTCTGAGGCCCTGAATTCAAAACCCTAGTGTCACCCCCCCAAAAAGAAAATTAGGTAGCAATTTGGTGGACACTGTGGCTCAAACCTGTAATCGCACCTTCTCTGGATTGGGAAGAGTGCAGTTTCAGGTCAAAAATTGTTAGAACCCCATCTCAAATAATAGCTGCATGTAGTGGTATGTGTCTGTCACCCCTGCTATGCGGGGGGGAAACATAAAGAAGAAGATCATGGTTCAAAAAGTGAGACCCTACCTCAAAAACAAACAATGCAAAAGGGCAAGTGGAGTGGTTCAAGAGGTGCAGCACTTGAATAGCAAGTGCAAGGCCCCGAGTTCAAACCTCAGTTGGGGATTTAGAGATCAACTAGGGTATCTTACTAGGCGGAGTTGTTCTTAGTAGAATCTTTCCTGTCCTTCAGTGGTAATGGTGACACCATTACTTACATTAAAAATTCAGATTCACTCACTGTGGCTTAGAAGTTTTATTTAAAAACTGCCGTATTGTTTAGACTGAAAGACTCTCCTTGGTGCTTAAGATGCAAATTGCCTGAGCCTCGGGAATCACTGAAGTTCTCTTATCTTAGTACTGTTTTTGTCCTCATTTCAGGAGGAGGTTCAAGAAGAATAAGAGTAGTTTCAGTCTGTTTGGTGATTTGCTTGACTATCTGTTTCTTTATCCATAATCTCTTTGCTTATTCATTAACTCATTTAACAGTCATCATTGAATACCTGTTGACTTCTTGGTAGTTAATTGCTAGAGATTAAGAAATTAATAATTAACTGGAGGCCTGGCTCAAGCAGTAGAGTGCTTGTTTTACAAGCATGAAGCCCTGAGTTCAAGCCCCAGTCCCACAAAAAAAGAAAGAAAGAAAGAAAAAGAAATTAATAATCTTCCTTAGAAAGTTATGGCTAATAGGCAGGATCTTAATAAGTATACAAAATTATAAAACAGTGTGCTAGAAACTAGCATGGAGTCTCTCAGTGGTTTCACAGGAAAATGCTGTTCAGCTCAAGGCTCAGCGTGTGCAGGTGGGCTGGGCCAGAGAAAGGAAGCAGCCTCTGCAGAGGGCAGGTGAGGGGGAGCTGATAGATAAAGTTAAGAAGCTGTTGCTGTGGTGGGAAGAACACCAGGCCTATGGGAAAGAGCTGTACTTGTAGGCCATGCCGTTAACTCTGCAAGGGTGTCTGGCCTGGGCTCTTGAGTATTGCTGACTCCTTGAACCATTTTAAGCAGGACAGTGATACCAGGAGATTTGTGCTTTGGAATATTCCATGCTCATTAAAGTGGATTTCTTTAAAGGAAGGTTAAAAACAGAATCAGGAAACCAAATAACCATTGACTTCATTCCATGTGAGCGGTATGGAGGCTCTGAACACGATGGAGCAGCGGAGTAAGAGTCTGTGTGACCTGTGCTGGTCACCGTGAGCCACAACTGGAGGGAACGCATTCAAGGTGCCTCTTTGTTCTCTAAATGGAACCACTAGGAGCACAGTTACAGAAACGGAGCATGCTTGAGGGGAAAGAGGATAAATTGTTTTGGGAGCATGTGGATTTTTAGTTCTGAGGGAACATTCATGCTTTTCAAAATACTTTTGTTTTCAGAAAGAACAATGTTGGCTTCTCTTATGTGTTACAGAGTCACTAATCACAGCAGCATTAACAAGCTCTGATGGTACCTCGTGTACAGATCATACTTTCTAACATCATTTTTTAATAAAAGAAACTAGGGACTGGGCTTGGTGACAGGTCTGTAATCCCAGCACTGGAGAGGCAGAGGTAGGAGATCAAGAGTTTGAAACCAGCCTGGGCTACATAGTAAGAATGCCATCTCACCCCACCCCTACCCCCCAAAAGAAACCATGGCTCCTTCCTGCTTCTCAGGAAGGAAGAGGAGCTATGAGGTGAGCCTGGAGCATCTTACAGTGCCAAAAAGAAGGAAAGCAAACCAGAAAGCAAAAATAATGCAGCTGTGTCAAAAAGACACATGAGCCAACTGAAAAATCCTCCCAGTAATGAAAGCTGGACCAATTCAAGCAACAAAATAAATAACAGACTTGTGGCCCAGTGTTCAAAGTAAATACCCACAAATCCATACTAATGTGCACTGGTACCTTCTAGACAGAAGAATTCCAAATGATTTATGTAGCTATTTGCCCACCAAAGGTGATGAAGTGTAAACCCAACCCCGCCCCCGTGTGGCTCCTTTCTTCAGAGTATAGTATGGAAAGGGAGTGTGGGCAGAAAGTAAGGTTGCTGTGTTTGCCAGTCAGATCTCCATGGTCAGCGTCAGTAGTGGCACATCCTGCTGATAGTATGCATCGTTGGTATGATGTGTCAAGAAGGGCACTTCACCATCTGGTTTTCCTCCCCAAAATCCATAACCCAAGTCTAATCATGAAGGAAACAGCAGACAAATCCCAGTGCAAGGACATTTTACAGAATACTTCAGCATTGCTCCTCGAAACTGCCAAAGTCGCCAAAGAACCGAGGGAAGTCTGGGAAACTGATACAGCCAGGAGGAGCCTAAAGAGATAAAGTGTCTAAGCCTAAGGTCTCCTAGATAAAGTCTGGAGCAGAAAACACATGAGGGGAAGTGATGATGTTAGAATAACACGGTTTGTTAATATACCAAATATTCATGGTAAAACACAGTATGAATAGCAGGTGCACCTGGGTGTGGGGTATATGAGGTACTGTTTGAAACTGTTTTATAAATCTATAATTACTCTAAGAAGCTTAACCCAATTAAAAAAATCTGGTGGGAGAATCGAGGAGGGAAAAGCCAGGAAATGTTAGAGATGACAGTCTGCCAAAGTACAATGATGTGAGTAGTGATTTGGGATCAGGAACCTAGCAGGGAGGGTCACTGGTGAAGCCTGCACTAGTGCAGTGACAGGGACAAGAATCATGGAAATTGTCTTCTTCCCTGTCTCTCTGAAGTCAAGATAAGAAAGTGGAAGATAGCCAGAGGTATCCAAAATGCTATGAAAAGGATGCAGAGACCCAGGAAGGTAGAAGCCTAAAACCATCTTTGAGGGTGCTGTGTGGACATATGTTTATAGCATCCAGAACAACCACTGAAAAGAATGATAGAGCATCATTTGTATCATACAACAGAAGATCTGTGAAGGTAGAGGATAAGGATGTATATTGAAAGCTGTTGAAAAATGGGGGGTGGGGAGGTAAAGAGGTGAGGGAGAATGGAAGGAGTTGAATGGACCAGAGTAAAGTTCACCCATAGTAGGCATACATTGAGAAACTCCTCTGAACGTAGGAGGAGGAATATAAAGTAGGTATAGTAATGTGTGTGTGTGGGGGGGGTACTTGTGGGAAGGGGAAGGTGAATGAAGGAGATTAAGGTGAGGGAGTATTGTAGATAGACTTCATATATCCATATGAAACAGAACTAAGAAACCTCTTGCAATTGCTTTAAGTGGGGCGGGGAGGGGGTTGGAGGGGAGAGACTATGGGGGCAATGTAACTAATGTACAATTTAATCGTAATTGTCACTATGACTCACCCCTCCTGTATA